ATTTATCAGTCAATGAATTGACTGACACAGTAATATTGTAACTTAGAGGGTTTAAAAATCATTCACACGAAAAGATTGAAGATTTGTGTTTCATTAAGAATACTGCAGTTTCAAATCTGCCTGAGGATTGCGAGAGGAAGAAAAGAAATGCATTTCTTTCATTTTGTGGCAAGGGAGATAAGGCAAAATTCATAGGTTGTTTACACAACACTGAAACGCCGATATCAGCCGCGCATTATTATGAGAAATTATGTAAAAAAAATCGTTGCAAATACACACCAGCAGACGGGTTATTGAAGAATACCAATTCATGCGAACGAGGATCGAGTCTGAATGGAGACAGCTCAGGGGGTCAGACACTCTTTAGAAACTAATATTTTGAAACCATTTAAGCCCATCTATTTGCGAGATGTCAAGATCATAACAACAAAAAACATTAACGGAATACATTTTGAATCTGACACAAATTCAATTCACAAAATGGCAGAGGGGCCAAGTCAGTGAAATGTGCCTAATAGAGATGATTAGGGGTGACAATGAAGGGGTTGATTCGTGGCTTTATTTGAAGTTGTGGCCTTGAGTCAGGGGTAGCAATGCCGTCATAGGCGGATTTTGCCTCCTCTTGTGTCAGAATGTTAGTACTCATACAAGCATAAATTAAGTTTCTTCAAAAGAACACATTTTAACACACTTCATAGACTAAAGGAGGAGTTTAAACTTTTAAAATGTTCCAAAGTAAATACTTGTCTGTCTTACAATGAGAAAAATTGCAGCGTGAAGATTTGAATCTCTTTCTTTTCTTAATCAAAATGCGTCTTTCTATCTACTAGGCAATGTTTTCAAAATTTGAATACCCAATTTTCATCGTTTCATAGATTTAAAACAAGATTTGTATTTATTTCATCATACAACCAGGAAAGAATACTTACATGACAGAAGGGTAGTACCTCCAGTCAAACTTGTTATTTTATTTTAAAGTAAAATTAACTGAAATTATAAGAGACAAATAATACTACCTTCGCACGCTATGGGGTAATTCAATACAAATGTTTAATTTTGTGCTTAAAATCGTTTGAAGATCCTATTTAGTGAAATTTTAATGTCAAATAGCACGGCTGGTAGAGTTATCTTACTCTTTCAAAAAGGGTTTTGTTTTATTGTTACGGTTCCACAAAGAAAGTTTGGTCAGCTGATTCCTGCAAAAATTCGGATGAAATTGTACGCGCATGAAAACTGGAAGCACTCCCTGATCTCGTTTTATTAAAAAATAAAAGAAAAAAATGTGTTTCCAAAAATAATCATTTCAGCAGAAATGGGTGTTTATCGTTATTTCCTCTTCTTTTTCAAAAATTGAAATTTGAATCGATCACACTTTGAAACGAGGCAAGGAGGAAGTTATTAGTGCTTCTCTCGTATTGAGAAAAGTGCAAACTAAGATAATTGGTCATGCACTGATAAATAATTTACCTTATTGTGATAAGAAATGTTTCAAATGGGTTCGGTAATGTTTCGGTTTCTTTGCTCCTAAATGAGTTCTCCAAGGAATCAACTGACCTATTTTACTCTCGTGAAAGTACAGACAGAATTTTTTTAAAAAAAATTGCTGGTAACGGTCGCGTTAATCTACAAAGTTGCAATTTAGTGCCGCCCGATAACAGTCAAAACTTTAAGTTAGGACGCAAAAATCAGATGAAAAAAAAATTAATAAAAAAATAATAATGCCGAAAAAATAACAACAACTTAAAGCGAGAACGCTTAAAACATAACAGATTCATATAACTTCAAAATTATACAAAATAATAATAAGTAGCGACGAGGATAATAATAAAAAATACATAAATAAAAAAAATATAATAAAATTGGAAATTAAAAAAATTGAATTTACAGAATTTCAACCGCAAAATAACTAAAAGCAAGATTGCAATTGGAAAAGAACAGAATTATTTACTGAAATTTACACGAGATATTTTACAGAAGTTTTGAACTTTGTGAGGGCAGGCAGAAAGAAATCGATTTAATCTTGAACTTAGAACCAATTCAATTGAGTTTCAAAATCGGAAGGATGATGAAAATTTCAAATTAAGGGATTTTCAAGTATTAGGTAACATACTCAGTGGAAACTGTTGTTACGGTCTGCACAGCAGTGCATTATGCTATGCGAGTGGGACCAATATCTCAACAGCGCGCAGCAAGGTAAATTCAATACACTGCGTTATTTGTTGAGAGAAACAAAAAAGAAATAATTGGATGATTTTAAAAAAATTGATGCAAATATACGCCGAGGAAACTGTCTAATGTATGAATGNNNNGGCAAAACAAAAGAGGTAAGTTACGGAATACTTGAATGTCCTTTCGTCCCCTATGTATCAGTAGTATCATTATTTCAGCAATTGGTCGACAACATTTCTGCAAATCTTACACCAACGAAGAGAGGGAAAGAAAAAATATTAATGTAATTTGGTAAACACAAAGCGCATTATGTTTTCTAAGGAAAACTACTGGAGAATACGTTTTGAAAAAAGAAAGGAATCTGATTCAAAGTATATAAATAAAGTACTTACAATTTATTCACTAACTTTTACTAAAGAAATACGTATATTATGTTGGCATGAATCACGAAAAATGATCTCGCATAAATTTGCATGGACTTGAGACCCATGCAATATCACATGCAGTTTTCATTTTACTCTCGGCAAAATACTAAGTTAAATTACTCAATAGTACATATCTATGAATAATATGTACAAGATTCTCATAAATTGTTAACATGTTACAGTCTCAATGGCATAAATTCGTTTTTGGCGAAGTATTTCATTCCAAGCGACCACATCTTAACACTTTCTTTTTCAATTAGAAAATTCATGACAAAGCTTTCAGTATCTTTTCAACATTCAAACGCAAAATTGCAGAAAAGACAGAAATTCCAGCATGATGAATTCCCTAATTTTGAAAACTGTCAGGATTTATTAAGGACTATGCAGTAGAATCTGAGCCAAACATGTAAAAGTGTAAAAAATAATAATAGAGAAGTGTCGCGACTGATACTTAGAATTTCGAATTTTTAGGGTGAAATAACAACAGAATCTAATTCTCTCAAAAACGCATCCATGCCAATTTGAGATATAATACCAATACGTATAATTTTAAATTACGTTTGTTACTGGTTGTATCGCACCATCAGATTTTTCTATTAGATTCGGCCAAAAACAATGTAGAAAATCAACAGTGTCCGGAGATTTTTTAAACTCACGTGCTTAACAACACATCATTTGACCTCATTGTGCTAAATTGCTCTCATTTACCTTGAAAACAAAAATATATTCTTTTGAACTCAAGGCAATTTTAGTTTACTCACGGACTTTCAAACCACTCGGATATAAATTGGACGTATTTCTGCTAAATGGAACTAGAGACGTGTTGGAAAGATAGGGTGTGCGCGTGGTGAGCTGCATGAAAAATAATGTATAAGTGGGCGTGATTCCTTTCGGGGAAATGGAAAAGCGAGATTTTACATTCTGCTGAACGGAACTAAGTGCCAATTGTGAGCTAGCTCATGAGCCGTGGGTATGTGCCAACAGCGTTGTGGACAGGGCTCATGAGATAAAGAGCCCCACGTCCGACATCGCCGATGACGTCACTGGCGCTTTTTAATTCCCATTGATTCTTACAACCCTCAACTAACGAGCACACCCCCTTCTTTTCTACCTGTCACTGGTTCCGTTTAGCAGAGATACGCCCAATTGCGGTGACGAAATCTGATGGTAAACGACGACAACAGTAGAATAGAGATCTTCGAAAAATAGGCAATTCTAAAATTACAACCGCATAGTTGAGGAGGAGGGAACGAAAATACAAAATGAAGAAAGTCATAATCAATAAATATAAATACAACTATCAGAAGATACGTACTCGAGGTATAAATATTACACACATTCAAGGGTTAAGCGCACGACTGTCCCTACCGTTTGCGGAACAATTCGCAAATGGAGAGGGAGTCACTTAACTCCGGGTGATGAGTCTATTTCGCCGGCTCAAAGTTAAATGGTATCGCTGGGCCACGATACTCTCCTTCGTGGTTTGGGCTGCTCTATCTCAATCTGTGTGGGACCGTTTGGCAATTTTCTTTGATTTCAGAGGTCAAATAAATCAAGCTTTGTTGCTGCTACAACGACAATGAATCAAGTCTTCTGTACGTTTCAAAAGAACAACATCGATATTGTAATTCGTCGATTTCCCCACGAAAGAACATAAATACATGTCAACATTGCCAGACACCTCCTTATGAACTGCGTGAACAGGAGAGTTGGGCAGTTCTAACTGAAAATTTCACTGATTTTTCTTTAAATATAATTGAAAAATCAGAAACAATTTGGAGAACAATTGCACAGGTACATTCTTGTAAGAAATCTGTTTGAGTCAATTTTGCAACTTCGGAATGGAGTTAAGTTCCTTCGTCCGGGAAACGACGAATTTTCATCATTGAAACTACGAATCTACACGATTTGTCCAAACTTCAAGTATATCCTTTCATCATCAATAAAGACACGTCTCTTTGAAACAAGTACGATGTCATTCACCGAGATTTTGTTATCTTTCGCTGCAAGATTCAACGTAGACATGATTTGGTGACTCAGCCACTGACTTATTCTTTGGATCGAACGTTTATCTCGCTAAATGGGCTCTTTGGCAGTAGAACAATTCTGCGAATCATGAGACCTGAGCATACAACAACGCCACCTAGTCTAGCAGCTCATTCGCGGTGCACTGAAAAAAAATTTACGGGCTGTATAGACATACTGTACGTTCCGGGCTCAGAGGACGAAAGTCCCGGGTGCTGGAGCCGTAGCTTCAATTGCTCCGGTTGCTCCGCCCGGAACTTTCGGTCTCTGAGCCTGGAACGTGGACGGTATGTATACAGGGTTATTCAAAAGTCACGCACCACTGGCCATAACTTTAGTTCTAATTATGATATCGACCTGCGGTTTAAGACGTTTTTCCTCATATCGAGAGGGAAAAGTTTTTCAACACTTTCCAGTTTTTGATCCCCACGGGGGAGGGGGGGGGGTCGGGAGGCAACTCAAAAATTTCACATGGCCACCACCCTCACGGCCACTGATGCGTGACTTTTGAATAACCCTGTATATAGCCCATAAGTACGGCCTCCACGGCTGGCTTTTTTTTCAGTGAAGGGAGTCAATTTTTGGACTGAGAGGGTTAAAAAAAGCGTAAAGCGATCCTCACTCGGGACTATCCAGGGAACTTTGAGCTTGCGAAAGAGGGTTTCTGACGAAGTTGGATGGGCTATTAGGTGGGCGGAACTTTGGAGACGACGGCTTTGAGCATGTCGGCGGTGGAGTTCTTCTCGATGCCTGAGATCATCTTGTGGTGGTCGAGGATGCCTGCGCTCTGGTGGTGGTTCTGCGTGTGGTTCTGCGAGTGGTGCTGCGAGTCCAGCTTGCTCTGCTGCTCCTGTTTGAGCCGCTCCTTCTCCTCGCGCTCCTTCCGCGCCTGCTCGTTGATCTCCTTGACGGCCCGCATCTCCTTCTTGAGCTTCATCCGCCGGTTCTGGAACCATATCTTTATCTGCCGCTCCGTCAGGCAGAGGGCGTGCGCGATCTCTATTCGTCTCCGCCTCGTCAGGTAGTGGTTGAAGTGGAACTCCTTCTCCAGCTCCAGGGTCTGGAACCGTGTGTACGTCTGCCGCCCGCGTCGTCGGGGACACCCGCTGGGACCTGTCGACAAAAAATAGCGCAAAATTAGAAACGCAAAAATTATAACGCATATGCGTATAACACATACTTTATTTGGGCGTTTTTCTCCTAAAATTAATCCGAGAAGAGTGGAAGAAGGAGTGCGCTCGTCAGTTGAGGACCATAAGAATGAATGGGAATTATGAACCGCCAGTGACGTCAACGGCAACGACGATCCGTGGATCTGAGTCTTTAGCTCATGACACCTGTCCACTACGCTCTTGTCAAATTCTCACGGCTCATGAGTTAGCTTATTTCAGCGCTTACTTTCGATTTAATATAAAATCTCACTTTTCCATTTTTCCAGAAGTAATCACGCCCACTTTTACTTTGTTTCTTATGCAGCTTGCACGAGCACCCCATCTTTTCCACTCGTCTATAGTTCCGTTTAGCAGAAAGACGTCCTTTCGATTAAGCTCCTCTTGGGAGGAGACGCCCAGTGAAAAGGTGGCTACACGGAATTGAACAAGAAATCAGGGAATGCCAGCTTCCAGAGAGACTTTGGGCACAGGCAGATCTAATAAGAGGACGTAGGGGGCGTATGCTCTCCTCGTTCACCCTAAAAACCCCTTGAAAATGCTCCTGAACGGTACTCTATCCGAACCATATAATCCATGAACTAAATCAACCACAAAAATAAAAAGTGTACCGACGCATGGTAAGATTTTAAGGCAGCATTAAAAAACTTTTCGCGTTGAGGTGTTAACATCATGCCACTGAGCAAAATTGATCAGTGATTTGCTCTTGCGTTGCTTCGAAGTGTGACATTAAGCGGTGAAACCTGATCATTCTCGCACCTAATTCTTATTCGCCTTTTTTGTGTAGCCCATTAACCTTTTCACAGGTGAGATTTATTTAGAATCGGCTTCTTTGATAAGGGAAAATGTCGATCGCGTTAATGAAGGAAAAAAATTGAAATGAGAAAAAAATGTCCTGTCTCCAGTCCGGATGTCGTCATTGTACCAATCGGGCCTTGTTGAATGCGATCGAAGAAAGGTGTTGCAATAAAAAATGAAACGAAAGGCGTGAACTGATTGACATCGATCACACATACTTCAGCTAGTCCTCCGAGCGGACAAGCCAATGATTCAATAGATTATGAGAATCATAGAAAAAAAACCATGGGCAAAATCATAATGTGTAATTCACGAGCTTTTTCACAAAATACTAGGAGCAGAAATATGAAATTCTTCAGTCATTAGGCTGACGATTTCTCAATACGTTCAGGAGACGGGCTGATCATAAATAGTGATTTTTAATTTTCTTTCTATATAAATAATGACCGGAAAGTACCTGCAATCTGCCGTGCTACGGACGAACGCTGTATGAACATTCAAGAATTGTCAAATTTCCGCGGATAAAACATGTATTTATGGAGAAAGCTATGCATATGTTTCCTAGAAATTTTCAGACTTTTTAAATTGAATTGCGAACGATACTGTCCGAAAAATTGAAGGAAAAAAAAGTCACAATTTTTCCAGTAAATTAGTGTTTTATTGAAGAAAATATAGTAGCGCCACCACGCATAACCACCATTAGGCCACCAAGCGTTAAGTCCTTTACGTGACTCCATTATCGAATATTAAATTTAAAACTTAACCATGCGATAGGAATATCCTGCTCTCCATTGAAATAATGCCCAATCCGTTTATGAGGAAATCATTTATTCTATTTCAAGGTGTGTGGGATCGTGCATAATCAAGATCAGTGCAATTTCGCGCAGAGGGACACCCTGTAGAAGGAGACACCTGATAATCCGGCAAAATCCTCCACGCGTGACAAAACATCACGCCCTGGAATCCGTGAATGAAAGAAACTCAAAAGGAGCGAATAGAGCGACAAAAATAAAAGCCGAAAGGAAGAAAAATGATCGAATCATCGCTGCTAAATCCTGAGCACCAACTAATTTTATTGGCCTATTAAGTTCACTATAGTTCTTTTATTACCGCTTTTATTGTTTCCTCTCTCTCTCGCTCCTCTCCACGCCGGCTCGCGCTGTCTCTCTCCGCGCGCTGACCCATTTTATTTGCTTTAATGCACTTTATGACCCGGCTTCCTTAGGTTTCGCAGGAGAGCTTCGCGGTTGACACATTTTTAAAGCGAACGTCTCGTCGTGGCTGAGCGTGGAGAGTTTTATTACCTCGAAATTAGCGATTGCATGTGCGTTGATTTCCCGCAATTTATTTTCGATGAGTGTCATTTATCTCTTCTAATCCCGCGGGAGTTTCAACTTACTCGTGGCGTTTCGCGCTGTTTCGTGACGTTTTTCATGCTTGAGTTAAGAACCAAGCTGAAATTTCCCAGGGAGGTTTTTTAATGTAATTATCGCAAGCATGTTATTTTTCTAGGTGCTTGATCATTCTAAAGAATGATTGATAACCGTATTACTTAAAACGTTTATTTTAACTTTGCAGCATTGCTTGAAACTTGGTTACAAAATCAAAACAAGTCAATTCAGTTATTATACTACATAATATAAAGCAATCATAGTATTGACAAAAGAGGGACTAGACATCAGATTCACTATCAATAAGTCTGCGTGACGAAGAATGGTCAGAGACAGAATAGAATGGAATATGAAGAAGTATACACCGAAGTTAATTTCAGTAGATACCTAAGCCGTGCATTTCACATATAAGGCTTCGAAAAGAAAAGATGGAAAGAGGATTTGAAATCTGATAGAGATGTAAGAGAATCGAAAAGAGAAAAGAAAAAGATACAAAAAGCGAAAGAAAAAATCATCAAAAGAAAAAGCTGTTAAATTATTTTAAAAATTTATTTACAATTTGTATATTTTTGCCAATCTATAAGACCTCCCAGCTTCAACATCCTCTGTAATACCCTGGCGAATTTCAATTTGTCGCTCCTCTGATGTAAGCCGAAGGGCGTATCTCTGTTTCCACTTGAGCTATGTGCTCCGTAAAACTCTATGCTTCCCGGGGCTCTTGCGAAGTAGGGATACGCTCTGACGTTAGAGGAGCGACGAATTGAGAAACTTTTTTTTCAAAAAATAGAAAATAAGCAACATTGTAACTGGACCGTTTCTCGACAAAAAAATGGGTAAGAACAGGTGAGCCCTTTTGTCAAGTGAGAAGAGAAAGTACGAAGGCCTCGTTGCGGTGGAATGAGATTGTTCACGGAAGGTGGCGGAAATGAAAGGCTTATCCCGTGTCCGGTTGTCTCGTCGACCTTTTTTTCACAATTCAACCTTCCTGTGAATTAAGGCCAAGATGTAATCCGTTAACTCTCTACAACCTTTCCACTCACGAAACCGTTTGTTCTCTTTCATTTTTTTCTTAGGCGTGAGATCACTCTCAAGTCTCAGTTCAAAACATTTTAGCAGTACGGCACTACGTAAGTGAACACGTTGATGAGATCACGTAATTGAAAATTGAGAAATGAATGGAGGGTTGTTCTGCTGAGATAAGTTAAAAATGGTTATTTCTGCCGAGTCCATAATAATTTACATCCTATTTCCTATAATATATTAGGGTTATACTACCGAATCACTCGAGTAAAATATGAATATAAAATTTATTCGAACAGTATGGACATTATACGTATTCACGCAATATCAATTTCATCTAAAAACAACCGCAAATGCGATAAATATTGACATAAATATACTGGAACTTCAAAACACGTTCAGACAATTTTCATTAAGAGTTACGGTCAAAACAAACTAAACCAACTATTTCGCTCATTTTATCGAAAAAAAGAAGGAAAAGGGAAAAAATCAGTTCGGGAGTGAGATACTATTTGCATTTCTGCAGAAACGCCGTATGAACCTTTAGATATTGCCAAGTCTTCCACGATAAAATATTAATTTTGGAGGAGAGTTCGCATATATTTATTTGAAATTCTCAGATATTTCAGATTAAATTGCGAAAAAAATTCTCTGAAAAATTAGACAAAAATATTCAGAACTTTCCTAGTAAATTCGTTCTTTATCGAAAGAAACATGGCAACGTCTCAAGGCTCATACGACGTTCTTCCTTAGCACGGCAGTAAACGTTGGTAAGGTTTATAACGCCGTCTTGGCGACATTCAAGCGACTGATATTTCCAAAACTCGACGATTCTCGAGCCGATAATCGCTGCCGATTCAACCTACCCTTTCGACGAAGCCGCGAGTCAACCCCTTCCGAAGTTGGGCTAATGTTCCTCGGGAGAGATTTTATTCTTAGACCCGGAGGGAGGATGAGGGGGAGGAATAATTACACACGCGGAGAGAGGGCCGGCTAGAGAGGAGCGATCAATTCGAAAGCGGATACCACTCAAACATGGTTGCTGGGGTGTCCGGTTCCCATGGCAACGGACCACGTTGGAGCGCACGCATGCCACGGCCCGCGTCCCGCGCTGAGGGAGCACGCGTCCTATTGGCTCCCTCACGGCTTGGTCCGACCTGAAAGTTTTCGGCCGGTCGCGAGCTAATGCGGGTTCCGAGCTTTTAAGCCGGATTTGACGCACTAATGGTCTAGAAAATAAAAAGGATCACGTAAGCTCTGTGGTTGATTCATCTTACTTTTTTTCATTATTTTTTACCGTGACTCTTCTTAGGTATTTTCTCCTCCTTTTTTGCGCTTTTATCGAATTCTCTACAGCTGAACAGATCCTTTGAATTTTTTACCCCCTTTCTTACGAGCATTTTTTTTTTTTTTTTTGTTGATTGTAATGACTTATCAATAGGTTTTGCGGCTATAAAACTATTGCAACATTCATTAATGGTACGGTAATGGTAACTCTATTGTGTTTTACCACTACGCTTTTTAGGTAATACCTCCTTCTTTTTTTGAACTCTCTAAGGTAAAATTGATCACGTCCTTTGAATTTTGTCTCCCTTTCTTTTGAACGTTTAAGAGCTTTTTACCATTATCGCAATGACTTTTACAGTAGGTTTCGTGGCTAAAAAACTATGGGAACATGAATTTAAGAAAGGGTTACTGACTCTATAGGAGACAAAACTTTGTGGGAAGAAGTAAG